TTCGACTTCAGCTACGTTATTCACGTAGCTGAAGTTGTGTACCTTAGTTCGAATTAGGGGGGTAGTGTAGACCTGGCCTTAGAGACTAACAAATTTAAGTACTCCTGTTCTTTTAAAGGAAATAATTAATTATGAAGGTTGTTTTCCCCCTATGCATCACAGTTTATATCAGACCTATAACTACTTGGTACAGCTAAGAATAAAGGCAATCAACACATGCATCCTGAAATGTAAGATGCAGCATGCTGTATTTTTCATGAAAGTGGTATTTATCTTTATTTTTAACATTTCATAAGTATTATTTCTAAATACAAGACAAAGATGTGGTTAAGCACAGGATTGGGAGCAGAGAACATCAGAATCTAAATCCCAGTTCAGACTCACTCCACCTATAATTCTGAACAAGTAACTCAACCTGGTATAGTGCCTAGCACAATGGGGAAACCAATCCCTCAGTGGAGCCTCTTGGTGCTATGGCAATACAAATAATAGACAAAGCAACTTCATTTTTTCTCAGCTTCCACATGTTCCTTATGAGGAACACCACCAACGTATTGTGAAGATTAATTTTCTAATGTCTGTAAAGCAACCTGAAATCTGACAAAAATTCCAAGTGGTGATATCTTTTATTGGACCCACTTCTGTTGGTAGAAAGGACAAGTTTTCAAGCTACACAGAGCTCTTCCTCAGGTCTGGAGAAGGTAACCAGAATGTCCCAGCTAAATATAAGGTAGGATAGACTGTTAAACATAAAGGGTTCATGCATGCTGTAGGAAACTACTCAGAACAGGGGTGGCCAACCTGAGCCTGAGAAGGAGCCAGAATTTACCAATGTACATTGCCGAAGAGCCACAGTAATATGTCAGCAGCCCTGCACCAACTCCCCCCTTCTAGCTCACAGGGCCTCCCCCGTCTCCCCCCCGACGCCTCCCGTGATCAGCTGTTTTGTATGCACAGGAGACTCTGGGGGATAGGTGGGAGGAGGGAGGGGCATTGGGAGAAGGGGTGGAATGGGGGCAGGGCCTGGGGCAGAGCAGGGGGTTGAGCAGTGAGCACTCCCCGGCACATTGGAAAGTTGGTGTCTGTAGCTCCAGCCCTGGAGTCAGCACCTATGCAAGGAGCACATATTAACCTCTGAAAAGCCACATGTGACTCTGGAGCCACAGGTTGGCCACCCCTGACTTAGAATGAAGGGGGCAATTAAGGGTAGCAGTCAGTAGGGTGAATTAAAAATTTTTGTTATGAGCCATAAAACCAGTGTCTCTGCTAAGTCCATGATTTTTAATGTCCAGAAGAGTTATGAATTTAAGTTCCCCGGCTTCTCTTTTGAAGGTGTTGTGCAGGCTTCCTTAGAGGATGAGGACTGAGATCAGATATGGAGAGATCGCTTTGTAAAAAGTGTGTTTTTCTTTTATCATTTTTCTGTCCGAGTTCATTCCAGAGCATAGCGATTGTCAGTTTTCATTCACATAGAAGTTGTTGGGGCATTTGGTGAACTGGACAAGGCACATCACATGTTGGGATAGGTATGTGTAGGACTCATGGATCTTGAAAGGTGTGTTGTGGGGAGCACTGATCTTTGTACAGTAGAGATACGTCTAGGTTTTGCATCCATTATTCTGGCAGAATCTGTTATTCTGGTGCTGCTTTGGTGTCCTGGTCTGTGGGGGAGTTTGCTTTCGATTCTGAGCTTGGCAAGGCTGGGGAGCTTTTTTGAAGGCCAGAAGAGGGGGTTCAGAAAAGATTTATTTCAGGATATGGTCCCCATCAAGTATGAGTTGTAATTGTTTGATGATACCCCGTAGGGGCTCCAGGGTGACAACTAGGCATGTGCAGTCAGTGGGAGGGTTTCTTCCCCCCCTCATATCCTGGGACCAACACTGCAAACAACAATGGATAGCTCAGTGGTTTGAGCATTGGCCTGCTAAACCCAGGGTTGAGAGTTCAATCCTGAGGGCGCCACTTAGGGATCTGGGGCAAAATCAGTACTTGGTCCTGCTAGTGAAGGCAGGGGGCTGGACTCGATGACCTTTCAAGATCCCTTCCAGTTCTAGGAGATAGGACATCTCCATATTGCATTTTGCCATTTAAAATGGAAACTTCACAACATGAAGAAGGAACCCATTCTGCAAAGCAACATCCACTGCCTAAGCAGATGCAAGAAACAAACACCATCCCCAGAGGATGCACCATCTATAACCCTCTGGCCACTCGTACAACTCCAAATATGCAGAACAGCTCTGCAGAAGGACCTCAGAAAACCTGAGAAACAAGACAATAGGTGGACAACCGGCATCAGTGACTGGATCCCCAGAGATCACAAGGGACCACTGGGCAGATCGAAAATGCACTGGGCAAATCCCATGACAAAACTCTTTGGCCAGAAATTTCATAGATTCAAGGACTGGAAGGGACCTCGAGAGGTCATCAAGTCCAGTCCCCTGCCCTCATGGCAGGACCAAATACTGTCTAGACCATCCCTGATAGACATTTATCTAACCTACTCTTAAATATCTCCAGAGATGGAGATTCCACAACCTCCCTAGGCAATTTATTCCAGTGTTTAACCACCCTAACAGTTAGGAACTTTTTCCTAATGTCCAACCTAAACCTCCCTTGCTGCAGTTTAAGCCCATTGCTTCTTGTTCTATCCTTAGAGGCTAAGGTGAACAAGTTTTCTCCCTCCTCCTTATGACACCCTTTTAGATTCCTGAAAACTGCTATCATGTCCCCTCTCAGTCTTCTCTACACTACGAGAGTAGTTCGATTTTAC